TTTTTTCCATCGAACCAGCTCCAGCGAACATGAGCGAAAAAATGAGAATATACCAGATACCAATACCCTAAAGCAGACAAAATGTCACTTTCTTCTGTTGGCGGGAATCGAAAATGACAAAAAAGCGCTTTTTTTTGTTTTGGGCGGGATCGGGTCGGGTCGGAATACATGAAAAAACTTATTTTTAAGCTGTAAAGCCATGTGGAATCGCATTCCACGTGGCAAATTTTTATTCGGTACCGCATGTAAGGCTTCATGCGGTGCACGTACCGAATAAAAATTCCCCAAATAGACCCTCAATATAAATGTTTACTATTTGCTTAAACATGATTTGGTTTATTTAAATGCATTATCTTGAGGGAAAGATTGACAAACTTTCAATTTCTCTGGAAATTCTTGAACCAATTGAAGTTTTTGTTTTATAAAGGGGTAGAATGATCATTTTTTTCAGAAACAGCTGCCCCACAGCTGTTTTCATACAGCTGCACCAGACAAACAACCAGCTTCCCCACAGCAGCTAAGAAACTAAAAAACTGTAGCTAAACCAAACAGAATCAAAATGGATCTGAGAGCCCCAAGATCACTCTTTTTCCCCTATACGGTGCAAGTTTTGTTGCTCTCCATCTTTTTTTTATTGAGTGTGATTTATTAGACAAATTCGAATTGAACAAGATTTGAATTTTATGTAATGTAGCCGAACACAGCCTAAATATTGGGAAAAAAAATACCGCCGGGCCTGTCAGGGGTGACTTATTACATATCCCGGCGCACTACAATCATTATCAAAGTTCTTGTAATTTTCAGAAACAATCGGAGCTACCAAGCTAATTTTACTTTTGTCTGCAACTAAAAAACCGCAGCACATGCTGTTTGATTTTTTATTCTCGCTCTCTCATTTCAGTTGTTAGCTGCTCCGCTCGTTGAGAGTTATGGCGGTCGAAGAAGAATATCCAAATCCGAAACCCTCCTCCATCTCCCTCCCTATGGAAGAAGACGCCCCATCGGCTCTGCTTTCTTCCTATCTCGGTCTCAGCTTTTCGGTTTTCCTTGCTTTACTTCCCCGCTCCTCGCTCTCACATGTTTTCTCCCTTCAGTCTCGCAACCGAATCCTCTCCCTCAGGCTCTTCCATGCCGAGGAGCAGCTCCGCCAGATTCGCTCCCGTCGGAAGGAGGACTCCAAAGCCAACGCCCGCGTTGCGGAGATCTTCTCTAGCAACCGTCAAGCATGGCAGCTGGAGGAGAAGCGCCTCCTCCAGCAGATCGAAGCCGCAGCTGACGAGATCGCCACACTCCGCTCGCAACTCAGTGAGAAGGAACGCTCGGAAGCCGAGCTTCGGTGCTCCGTCGAGAAGCTTCAGCGGGACTTGGCTGAGCGGGACGAGATGATTGATTTCATGTCAAGGAGGGCGGAGCCGGCAGAAGGAGAGGAGGATGGGATGAGGAAGAAAGAAGTGGAAAAGGTTTTGGGCGACGATGAGGAGGATGAGGGCGGTTGTGGCGATGACTATTCGTGGATGGGGAGGATTAGGACTCCGAAGGGGATAGATCCGGTATTTGACGCATGTTTTGTTGAGCGGAGCGACGACATCGACAAAATGGCGATGTTGTACTGCCGGGAAAATGGGTTTGGACAAGATTCCTTGCCGCCTTCAGAAATTTCGAAGCGGTGGATGGAGAGCCCGAAGGGAGCATGGCAGGTTAGGATTTTTGGAGGTTTCCCTCATACTGAAGTTTCTGAAATCGATTTTTGGAGGTTTTCCGTTTTACTAAAGTTTCTGAAATCGTTCGCTTATTATGTATATCTCGTGCATTGTGTCGATATTAGGACAATTTACTTGCTTTCTTTTAAATCTTACGTTCCCTGGATTCCGTTTTTCATGAGTAGAGTCCAATTTAATGCAGAGTATCCGTGACTACTGAAACAGTAATTTATAATCTCTTCCTATATTTGCTTCTTTTTTATCTTCCCCTTATTTTAAATGTTGGACAATTTGCCTCCGCCTGCCGAAATCGATCGTTTATCATGTATATCTTATGCCGTGTAGCCGTAATGTTGAATTTCTCAATCTTATCTTTTCGTTTTTTATGAGTAGTTAGATTTTATGTAGAGCAAACGTGATTACTGACGATTTTATTAAACTTCAGGTTGCATTTATGAACCCCATCTTCTCTTACTATTTATGGTTTCCCCGCACCACAAAATAATTTTTTTATAAAAAAGGTGAAAAGAAAGACAATTGAAAAACATCAAATGCTGGTGGATTTTTCATGCTTATTTCCGGCTAGGCAGATGCAGTTCTCAAGGAATTTGTAAACTATTCTAAAATTTTTCTTATAGTTGTGATAACCGATCTAGCTCTGTAAGGAAATTTTGGCATCCCTCTTAAACTTTGGTGGAGAAGCTGGTCTATTTCTTTCAGAAAGCAAACAATGTTTCCGTCGAGGACTTCCGATTTCCTAGGCTGTTCCGAGAAGCAAAATTTCACGAATTTACACATTTTTAGTGAGAAATAGATGAAGACTTGATAGAACCTCACTCTTAAGTGGCATGCTGCACCTTAAACTGTTTGTGGCAAAAATTGGGAAAGGGTGAGTGGGATGCCATCCTTAAGTAATAAGTGATGTATCATAGTTTAAACTGATTATAGTGAAAGGCAAGCGATGATTGATTAAATCTAAATCTTGAATTAAATTCACTGCGTGAAACTTCGGGACTTTCAGTAGGAAGATAAAATGAATTGCTGGATATGATGATTAAATGAAAAAGTAAATATTGATAGTTTGCAAGATTTTGGGAATGAAATAATATGAAGTTATTGGGGAAGATTATAACTTATTATATGTTTGAAATCATATTATTAAGATGATAGGATTTCAGTTGGAATTTTAGTGGATAGGGATTTGAAAGATAAAATTATTAAGTTGAATAATGTTAATGATAAATTGATTATTATCAAGATAATTGTTGTTGAGGATATTTAAATGTGATAAGTGATTATGCTTCTCAATTTCTATCAAAAGATAGTTTAAAATATCAATTTTAAGTAGAGATGAATGATTATTCTACTAGCAAAACTTGTAATATAACTTTCTTATGCTATACAAGATATTTGTCTCCAGAAAATTTAAAATTAATTATAGCAGTTTTCCCTACTCTAATAACTTTTCTTTTAGTAAATTTGTAAAGTAACTTCTCAATGAAAGTTGGAGAAGATATTTTGTCTCTAGAAAAAAAATGTAATGATTTATTAGTTATTTTCTATCTTTATCACTCTTTTTTCTAGCAAAATTTGTAATCTAACTTTCTTACAAAATAAGACTAGATTTTTTCTTTCTTACAAAATAAGACTAGATTTTTTTTTTTTTTGTCTATAAAGAAATTGAAATATATTGGTTGTTGTAGTACTTGATAGATAAAACAATTCTATTAAACGAGATATCTCGTGACTAAAAGTAGTGTAATAATGATTAGGAAGGATGACTATTTATTAGATGTAATTTAAGTGGGAGTATGGATTTTAGTAGAATGGGTTATGAGCTGATTCATGGATGTTATGGAATAGGAGAGAAACGTAATGATAAAAGCTATACATGATTTTATGGCTGTTTATGATAATGTGAATATGAAAACATACTTTAAAAAAATGAGAACACATAATTACTTACAAAAGTGGAGTCAAAAAATGAAAATGATTTTTTCACCAGAAGAAATGAATAAAATTTAACACAGATTAAAAGATTCTGGGAAAGTGATTGATCACATATCATATGGTAGAAAATATCAATGTATATTTTAAAAGTATGTACAAATTGTTACATTAAATTATTGCTTTCGAATAAGGTGGTGGAATCTAAAATGTCAGGAATTATTAAGCTTTCATGATAGATTGCTAAGGGAATTTGATTGAAATTTTTTGATTGATCTTAACCTAATATGGTATAATAAGATGGCTTTTTTTTAAGATACTTGTAGGAGTTCTATGGGAGTTTGCAAATTTGTCATTTATTGATAATGATATTTGTTGGAATGAGAAGGTATAAAAAAGTTATTAAAAAATAAATATATTTTTAAAGGAGAAAATAATTTGAATACTATCAATACTTATAATTATTGTAACAAAACTAGAAGTTTTGCATAAGCTGTAATGAGCAAAGAGATAATTATAGCTTCTGATGACTTAGATGATAGACTCTGTGCTAAGAAAGGATAAAAAGAGAGATATAAAATAATCAATACAAGAGAGAAGAAAACTAGAGCCTTTGATTAAGTTAGATGCATGAGAAGTGAGATAAATTATATTGAATAAAAATCATCAAGGAAAGTTGAAAATACTATTTTAAGAAATTATTAAAGGAGAGTTTTAGGGAAGAAATTATTTTGGAAGAGCATAATGAGCAATATAATGAAGTAATATTATTGATTGATAAAAAATTGAAGTTAGCTTTAAAGATTATTTATAAAGGTAAGATTTTAGTTCTAAATGCGATATTTATTAAGATTAAGAGGGTTATAGGAGATACTATTGTGGTTTAGTTATTAAATCTTTGGAGGATGCCATTGATTATAGAAGTGGTATTATAATATTAATGTTAAAAAATAAAGAAAATTCTTGATGCTATGCTAGCTATAGAAGAATCAAGCTTATTAGCCATACAATTAATTTTTGATGGAGAGTACTAGAATTTATGCTAAATAATTACATCAGTTTGAAGAATCAAATTTATTTTATGCCAACAAGATCAATGTGATTGTTGTATTAAGAGATACAATTAAAAAGCATAAAAAAGAAGGGAAGAATCAAGTGGAAGTTTTGTCTGTTACTTTCTCCCTCGAGAGCAAATTAGCTCACCAATTCCTACACACTCGCCCACTCCTGCTCTTGGTCGCGTATGAAGCCCATGGTCTACACCCCCTCCGTCGCAAGTGTCACACAAAACCACTGGCTATGTAGAACTTGCTCCACGCCACTGCCTCGATCCCGCTATTCCTTGCCTTCCCAGTTGTCTCCCGTGATCTTGTCATTGCCTGTTCAGTTAGATCTAATTGCAAGTGTCACGACACATTCCTGTTGTTGCCTTCCCAGATAGCTCTAATCATGATTGCATCGCGAGAGTCACGCCGCATTCTCGTTGTTATCTTCTCAATTAGCTCTAATCAGGATTGCTTCGCTAGGACGAAGCATAAGGAAGAGAAGACGGGAGTTTAGGGTCTTTGTGCGCTCGAATCGAGCAGCCGATGGTGGATTGGGCGTAATCTTTAGTGTCTTTGGAAGTCGCGATCTTCAACTTTTTTGGAAGCTGCGATCTTCCTTGTTATATGGGAGCTTCGACTCTTTATACACAATTCTAGCTGACGGCTCTCTAGGTAGCTCTAATACCAAATTAAAATAGTTGTTTTAGAAAAATCACATCTATTCATTAAAGACTTGGGCTTATATATGAGAAAATTTTGCATACGTCGTCCGTACGCTAGCTACATGCAAACGACGGATGCTATACACCGGTGAGGTGTTTTTTTTCGTGCTATACCGCGTCAGTTGTTCGTACGTATTTCATGTACGGACGACTTACGCAAAATTTCCCCTTATAGAGAGCCTTATATTTTTCTTTACAAATAAATCCGCAAACTTTTCTATATTTTCTATTTACAAAGAGGACGCTAAATTATATACAGTTCTCAACAAGAAAGAATGTGATTTGAGTACTACGAGATTTGGTTTTTTTATGAAGGCACAAGAGGTGTGTTTAAATTGTGTTGATATTTTTTTAATACATGTATGACAAAGCACCAACCATTATCAATATGTTTTATATACATATGGAATGATCAGTGTTTTCAATTACATCAAACTTACATGATGATTCTTATATCTTTTTGCATTTTCTATGATGATGCTTATAAAAAATATTGAAAATGAGGCTTTTGGTGCGTCTTTTTATTTGGCATAAATGATGTGGTTGTAATTATTGAGGCAATTATTGAAAAAAAAATAGAACATTGATTAAAAGACAATGTTCTGCAGTAGGTGTGATATTAATATCAATTAGAATTATTAGACGATAAAATAAAACCTAGGAATTAGGTTAAGGTACTTTAGATCTATTGTATAGAATAATGGAGATATAAATGAGGATAGAAACGTATGACTTCTAGAGTTATGGTTAGATTGTTAAAAAAGAAAAGTGCCTCAAATTTTTATTTGACAAGAAGATATTTTATGAAATTGTAATCAGGCTGATGATTTTGTATAGATTCTAATGTGGACACTATAGATGTCATTGATATTTAAGTTGAGCATAACATCAATGAGAATCTCAAGCTATATGTGCCAAAATTAGGAAAAGTAAATCAATCAATGATATATTAGAGAAGTGATTTGGAGTGATTCTATTGAATTTAAGGTAATGTAAAACCGATATAGGTTGTTTCAGCCTGTACAATGAATGTTAAACTATTCAACCATTATGAAAGTAGATAAAATTACTATTGGATGAATAGGAGGGGAAAGGGTAGATCTAAGGTAATGTTGATTGAAGTTATTCAAATGATTTGGCAAGAAAATGATTGATTTCTCAAACAACACTTGACAAACATAAATTTAAAAATTAAATTCATAACATCGACCCAATTAATTGGGATAAGACGTTATGATTGGATGATTTTAGTTGAAATAGGCATTGTAACCTGATTAGTCTTTTTGTATTCAGGATAAGCCTTAAAGGTCAAGACTAACTGAATTTAATTTTGTGAGGAAAGATTCATGTACAAATAATTGCAAGTTGAACATATAAGCAGAAGTATATGAAATAGTTTCCAAAATCAATAGATCCCTTAATGAAAAGATAATGATAAAGAAATGAAAGAAATAATTACGTAGCAATGAATACCTAAAACCTAATAGAAGTTTCAATAAAGAATTACAAATTAAACTGTTGTGATGTCTTGAAATAGAAAATAATCGATCGATGAAGCGAAAAATAGAACAAGAAAAATTTCACACCAAAAAACAACATACAGATTTATGTGGTTCGGCAAATTGCCTATGTCCACGGAGTTGCAGAGGGTTTTACTACTTGAGGAATTTACATCAGTCGATCACTTTGACTTACAAGAGGAATCTCTCACTTCGTTGCTCTCTTTTCTTCTCTCTTTGTTCTTCACTCTCTACACCGAGATACGTCGAGAAACTCCACACCAAGATACTTCGAAGAAGATAAACTTAAAAGAGAAATAAACCTAATTTTTTTTCAGCCACAAGCCATCAAGAAGAAGCTAGGGGAGAACAATCTTTTTCTTTTTCCTTCACCACAAGGAACTACTTCTTGCACTTCTCTTCCTCTGTTCCAAGAAAACCTGAAGAAGAAACCAAAATCGTGACTTCTGAAAACTTAAGGAGAGCTCTTCTGTTCGCAACTTAAAGGAGACGGAAGGCGGCGTCGTTTCGTGATCCTGGAGGCGGGAGCAGCGGTTATCACGAAACAGTGAAGGGTCGCGACTTTTAGCGATCGAAGTGGGAGGCGGGAGCGGGAGCTGTTTGTGGGAGGTTTGATCGCGACGTTTCGCGATTGGGGGAGCGAAAGGCGGGAGCGGGAAGCATAGGCGAAAAATACTATCGGGCTCCAGCGCTAACAATCTCCCACTTGGAGACCGATACACAGACAACAACATCTCTTTCCTCAAACTAATATCCTCCACCAGCGGTGTCGTCTTTTTCTTTAAACAGGAATCTTCCACCTCTACAACTCAAAACCTCTGTCTTCACTCCAGAAGACCAACTAAAGTCTCCAGAAGACCAACTACCAGAAGACCAACTAAAGTTGTGCACAACTTCAATTTCTCAAGAGTAACACCCTCAGTCAACATATCAGCATGGTCAACATAGATTTCCACCTCCAAGTTATTTCCTAGATTACTCTTGTCTTTGCTTATAACTCCCACTACATGGGCAATATTCTGCCTCTGCTAAAAGTCTTTTTCAACAAGTCTAGCCTTATAACTCTTACTGTCATCAAGCTCAATTTTCACTTGGTACATTCACTTGTTGTGTAATGTCTTCTTCCCTGGTTGAAGTTCTGTCAGCTCCCACTTGCTCGAACTTTTATCTTATATCCACTTGTTGTGTAATGCCTTCATCTCTGGTGGAAGTTCTGCCAGCTCCCACTTGCTCGAACTTTCATCTTGTAAGATTTCTTCATAGCTCTGTGGTTCTCTGTCTGTGGAACAATAAGATTTTTTCATAACTCTGTGGTTCACTTCCATCATCAACAAAACTCTGAACTGTCAGCAATAGTGCATCTTGTACTTCTTCAGATACTACATTTGCGCTATCATTCTTCATATTTTTAAGATTCCTGCAGTTCCTTTTTATGTGGTCAGTCTTGCCACAATTCCAACAGGTTGTTTGTTGATCAGACTTTAATTTTGATCTCCTTTTATTTGAGTTTTTTTCCTATCATTTTTCCCTCTGAAGTCAACATTCAGTGCTGAACTCGAACTTGAGATCTCGTCAGAATCTCATGCACACAAATCAAATCACGAATATCATCACATTTTAGTTTAGATTTACCTGCAGAACTGCTAATTGTCATTCTCATGGTTTCCCAACTATTTGACAACGATGCCAACAATATCAGCGCGCGTATCTTATCATCAAAATTAATTTCAACAGACGACAATTGATTCTTAATAGTATTGAAATCATTCAGGTGTTTCCGCTATCTTCAAGTTGAATAACTTATTCATCAAGTACATCTTGTTATTTGTTGATGACTTTTCATACATATCTGAGAAGGCTGCTATGAGATTTGCAGTTGTCCTTTCCTTGACGACGTTGTGTGCAACGGACCTCGATAGGTTCAATCGAATAACCTCCCAGAACTTGTTGATCCAACAAGTTTTATTCAGTCTCATCCATCATTTCAGGTCTTTTCCCCAATAACGGAAGATTAAATTTCTTCTCATAAAGGTAATTCTTTATTGCATTCTCCAATAACCAAAATCTGTGTCATCAAACTTCACAATTCCTGAAACCTTCACTTTATATGCAACCATCATTCTTCCTCAGATTTGAACAAAACTCTGATACCAGTTGTTTTGGTGTCTTGAAATAGAAAACAATCGATCGACGAAGTGAAAAATAGAACGAGAAAAATTTCACTAGAAAAGAACACACAAATTTATGTGGTTCGGCAAATTGCCAACGTCCACGGAGTTGTAGAGGATTTTATTATTTGAGGAATTTACACCAGTAATCAACTCGACTTACAAGAAGAATCTTTCACTTCGTTGCTCTCTTTTTCTCTCTCTATTCTTCTCTCTCTACACCGAGATATACCAAAAAAACTCTACACTGAGATACACCGAAGAAGATAAACTTACAAGAGAATAAACTCAATTTCTCTTCAGCCACAAGCCACCAAGAAGAAGCCAAGGGAGAACAATCTTCTTCTTCTTCTTTTTTCTTCCTTCACCGTAAGGAACTACTTCTTGCACTTCTTTTCCTCTGTCTCGAGAAAACCCGAAGAAGAACACCAAAGTCGTTACTTCTAAAAACTTAAGGAGAGTTCTTTTGTTCGCAACTTAAAGGAGACAGAATGCGACGTTTCGCGATCTTGGAGGCGGGAGCAGCGGTTATCGCGAAACAGTGAAGGATTGCGACTTTTCGTGATCGGAGCGGGAGGCTAGATCGCAACGTTTCCCAATCGGGGGAGCGAAAGGCGGGAGCGGGAAGCATAGGTGAAAAATCCTATCGGGCTCCAACGCTAACATAAACTAACTCTTAATTTGATGAAATAACTATTATTGAAATCTCTGCTCCTACTATGAATATCCACTAATATGAAAAAGCTACTTTTCACTTTATTGTCATCTTTTTTCCTTACCTGAAGGTTCTTACAGAGAGGTGGTGGTCATCTATCTATGAGAAGACATGTATAAGATGCTCAAATAGGGGATGAACAGTGCCTATCAATGGTGGGAGACACTATAGGCATCGTCAATTGCGTCAATGGAGAGCATTGATAGAGACACCAATAAAAATTGAGAAGAGATTGTAGCGGTGAGCATATGTGTGAGGCAAAAGAGAAACTATTCCAGTGGTTGACAATGGAGATTAGTAATAAGCAAAATCTGGTAAAGTGCGGCCACAAGAGGAAAGGGACATGGTTGTAGTAGAGTGTACATCAATTGTAAGTGCAAATGATGTGGAGTGCAAAGGCGGGTAACATATGTCAGTCATTGTGAAGGGGGCCGATGACGTATTAAAGTTGACGAGATTTCATCAAGTAAAAAGAAACCATGGAATGGGAGCTCCACTCAACATTAATGATTACGATGAGGTGAAAGAGTCAAAGATTTAGGATCCTTCTCTTTGATGAGGTGCTTGGTGTCATGCATCTTAGCAAAGAGATTGGCATTGGAATGGAGGAGTGAAGCTCGGAGGTCAAAGTAAGAACATGTTGACAACAAAGTGGCACTTGGTCACAAGCACAATGACATGGAAGAGGAGGGAGATCATATTGTTAAGAATAATTCATGGTTACTAAAACTTCCCTGGTTGATATTATTTCTTGCTATAGAATTTGTTTCCATTGCTTCTTAACTGCTCGCAAATACTTGTGGCTTCCTAATTAAAGAAAGATCATTATATGCCTTTTTTTCCCCTTGCCTCCCCCAACTCGCCTATCTTTCTCAATTTATCTTCCGTACATAATTGTAATTGTCTGTTAAACTTGCCTCTTTAACTTGCTAATCATAACTTTTGTATGAATGCAATCTCTGTAGGATACCCATTTTGATTCTCATGATTCAACGTACGTTACGAAGCATTTTGTATCAAGGTATCTGACTAAAGAACCGAAGAAATGGTCTGGATGCTCGCAGCCTTGCAGGATAATAATCTCTCTTAATTAATTGTCTCATTTTCAGGAGGGAGTATCCATGGAAAGTAAGCAGCGATGCTGCAGGTGTTTCTTCCAAGCTGAAATTACTGGAGCAAGGCTTGAGTAATCTAGAGAATGTTGAAGAAGGGGAACTGTCAAAAGTTTCCTTGTTGAGAAAACAAGCAAAGCGTTACCAATCTCTAGCTGGAAAGATTGATGATTTGTGCAGGAAAATGGTAAACTCGATCATCACGCCAAATCACTAATATATATATTTTTTAATTTTGGCTTATTTATTCAAAATAGTTGGCCCCTACATTTACTTATAATTCTCAAAGCGAATCAGTTCACTGTTTTAATTATGATCGAGATAAAAAAACTTTTGTTTTGGTTTCATTGACTCAGCAACTAAGTGAGAGCTGTGAGGCAAGTATGAGCCCAGATTTCTGGACCCAGCGGCAAACCGAGTTCCTTGTTGAAGCATTTATGCTGCAGCACAGAGCCACTGAGACGAGGCAGAAACTAAACACCCTTCAGACTGAACTGGTCGGCCAGACCAAGGTGGCAAGGAGGAGGTCTCTGGATTCCATTAGGAGCAATTTGAAAGAGATTCAGAGGAATCTTGAGATCTGGTTGGCGAGGATAATGGGTGACCTGGAAGGCATTCTCGCCAGAGATGGTAACTCACGTGTAAGAGATTACTATATTTCTCGATACCCTTTTGTCAGATAACCTTTATGAGTCGATCATTAATAATATTTTGCTGCATAATTTTGCACTTTGTCTTTTGTTTCTTTTTTCTATTATTATTTTTCATGCATTCTTATATCAGAACAAACTTTACTATAAGAGATTAATAATATTTTTCAATTACCTAATTACCTTTATGGTTCATTGATATTGATATATATATATATATTTTTCATGCATTCTTAATTTTGGACAATTTTTTTTTCCATGCATTCTTATAAGAGATTACTATATTTCTTGATATCCTTGTCAGATGAATGGTCTTTCATTTTGAAGGAGATTGCATCATTGATTTTTCTCTTAATGGAAGTGGAAATTTTTATATTTAATCACTTTTCTTAATGAGGAGAATTTTTTTTTTAGTAGTTAAGGCTAGTGTGAATGCAATGAATGCTTAGGCCTTGTTTGAAAACAATTTTGTTTTTTTTTATTTTTAATTTTTAATTTTATTTTATTTATACTTATTTCAAATTAAAACATGTTTGATAATTGTAATTATTTTAAAAAATATTAAAAAATAGGTGTTTTGAGAGTTTTTAAAATCAAGGTGATTTTTTCTATAGAAAAATAGGGATAATTATATAAACATCACCAAAAATATTGTAATTCACAAAATATAATATTTAGGTGGCACGTTTAAAGCTTTTGAGGATTTGATAAAAATGAAAAATACTTGTTGAGCTTTTATCATGAATTTTGATTTTTATGGGGCATTTGAAAAATGAATGGTGTCAAAATTTGTAAAAAGTGATGATTTGTGTGCTATGGATGTGATTGCCCCTAATTAAATTACTTTATTTGTGGGGTAATCATTGATCAAGACACCAATCATAGTCATTATTCATGTAGCACCTTCACGTCTGGTCATTTGAAAACCTCTATCAAATAAATTAACATTAAATCTATAAAGTTCGGCTTAAATAACAAATCAAGTATTAACAAGAAATATTTAAATAAGTTAAAAACTACAATACACAGCAACATTTAACAACTTCGACAGCAACCATCCAACCAATCACAAAATAATTATTATCATTATTATCATAACAAGTCTTACGTAAGGACACAACCATAACAACAAACCAGCCTAAGAATAAATATAGGAAAATTTACAAACACAGCACCCAATTCTCACGTATTTTCCCATCTCACATCTCACACCTAAAGGATCATATTTATGTACATCACACTTCTATGCTTTAGAACAATGCATGATTTAAAAAATATAAGTGTTATTTTTGATGTAATATTAAAATTTGAGTGGTATGTGTGTAAATATGTAAGGTTACTTATGAGACATTTAAATACATAAGAATTGTGTGATGGGGGTATGAAAATGGCCCAATAATATAACCTAATTTACCATATCAAATTAGTAACAGCAAATCATTTCTCTGCATGAACAACGTGTTAGCGGTAGGTACCCATATCAATATCAAACACAGCAGATCCAAAAAATAAAATAATTCAGCACTCTTAATTCAAGAAAATACATAGATTTCTTAAAGCAGAAACAAAGCCGAATTAATTTAGATGAAAAGAGCAACAGTCATCCATCCATTCCAAAACAAATACGTTCCCTTGAAACAAAGACAACATAGTCAAAAACACAAATAAGCTGAAAACTAACCAAAGCCTCTGGCTATGATTGGCTAACAGTTTCACTTCTTCTCCTCTTTCTCTGCTTCTGCAGCCTTCTTCAGCCTGGCACCAACCTGCCTAGCATTCATTCTCTCCACCCGAAGCTTCCCATAAGCCTTAAATGCCTTCATCTCCTCAGTAACCTTCACCAACTCAACTGAAGGCTTCCTGTGGACAATAGGTAAGTAGTCACCCTTCACCTGGGTCGCCGTTGTAAGTTCCTCCGGTGCAGAATCCCCAGCCTTAAACTTGCGAGCACGCCGAGGGAAGATAACCAGCTTCGCCTTGTATGTCTTCAGCCTCTGAACATTGGCTTGGAGACCTTCCAGCGAGCGATTCTTCCGACGATGATCCACTGCAATGCCAATTGTGGGAGCAAGCTTCTTTGGAATTCCTGCAGCCTAAGAAATATACCAAAAATATTGCACTCATTGTCAACATCTGCCCAAATTGGATATAATAATACAACGGAAGTAAATATAATTGGCATGCGTCTAAACAAAATACAACGGAAGCCCAAATTGGATAAAAGATATAGTAGTTTTTATAGTAGCAAGCATATGCATAAATTATAAAGCTACATGAAGACAGTCAAATGAAGGCCTAAGAAGCAATAAAAATACCAAAATAGTAAATATGAGCAACTTTGATAAAATTTTTAAAATTACCTTGAGCTCCTCAAGCGTGAAACCTCTACCAGTTCTAGATTTCATATTATATTTAAGAGTTGGGCACTGGACTATTGGTCGAAGGGGGCCAGATGTCGGGCGGGGAAAGATCTTCACTGCCTTCTTTTGTCTAGCTGCATTACCCAACCAACAGTTTAATCCATAAACAATGAGCAAAAAAAAAAAGAAATATAAGAAGTAAAAAATAATGATCCTTACCAATACGTCTTCTAGTCTTGCGAGCAGGCTGATTGAACCATGTCCTAACATATCTCTGCCAATGTTTTTTGAAGTGGCCATTAGGCACCACATTATTGTGCTTCACCATGATAACAGCTGTAAAATCAATGATAATAATACATTAAAACAAATGTTTACAAGTACCATCAAGTACGAAGGCAATGACTTAAAAGATAAACATATCCCTTCTAATCAATTATGAACTCCTATCAAAAAAAGACAATGACCTCCCACGTTGTACTTTGGGGCATACATTATTTCCCTCTACTATCAAATCATATTTGAAAACTTGTGCAGAGAACATCATTCACCAAAAATATAACAAAAATAACACTTTATAGTAATTCTCAACCCCTCCGAAGAAATCCTCCCAAAGTCTACTCTATAATGATTACATCTCTTCAGGCAGTAAAGCCAAAAAAGACGCCTTAGTTTCAACCACTACTTTCACCATAGTTCCAACCCAAATTATAGAAATGATTTTTTCTTTCAACTGAGGTTCATATTCCTGACAGCGCCTCATCAGTTATAAAAATGTTTACTACTAATACCAATATTTGAATGGGTGTCACTACAAGTTTAAATTCAATTAAGAATCCTACTAGTTTGCATGAGGAATGCTCCATATAAAAACATAACAATTCTCGAAAGTTCACAGCATAGAACCATCAATACTTCCATAATTAATTATATATGATTGAATGTTCCTCAACGGGCTAATTGTTTGATTACCCGAATAAAAAATCAGTAAACAATTGGGAGTGTGAAAACCCTACAGCTATTTTAGTCAATAAGCATATGCAAACCCTCAACGAAAGGAATGCTGAAAGGGCCAAAACTAATTAGTGATGTAAGGAGGTGCTGTTTTTGTTGAAGAAGGAAGTCACTAGGCTTAAGCTCAAGTACTTAATCATTCTGCTCAACTTCAAGGTGAAAGAAAGTGACGCAAGGCAACGCTATCAATTCCCTTTTATTAGTTCGATATCTTGAAGGAATGGCTTATAAAGTGAAAGGGTTTTACCAACATATTATGATGCTGCCCAAAAACTAACCGGGCCAGAGCCAATTGTTGCATTTTTCCACTTTATTAATGTTGAGAATACAAAACCAAGCCAAATGAAGAAGCTCAAATTTGAAATAACCTTTTTATTGAAGATTTGAACGCAAGCACTTATATTTAAGTCATGGAACTAAAAAACATATTTCCTCTGCTTATTATAGTTACCTCGAGATCGGTGCTTCCAACAATCCACAAATCTTGATCATCCATAACACTCAAATCAACAAAGAATTATTGTAGTGTAGCAAATTGTTCAATATATTTACATTCATTTCCCATCTCTCTCTCTGCCTATCTTGAGCCAGAGAATTCAAATATTGAGTGGTGGACTTTAAGATTCTACGGCAGGATGCAATGTAAAAGTCATCCTATTATAACAAAATAAATTCAATGGAGTCATTATTTATAACTTTCCAAAGATTTTCGTTTTTTTTAATTTCATGCCAAACCAAAATTACATCTCATTAATTTATAGGTTGAATCATAATAAATTCAAATATGATGTAATTAATGCACTCCTCCATGTGGCTTAAGAAGATCCCATCAAAGAATAAAAAGTAGTACTTTAAAGAATAATAAGTGTTTGTCGCTTTCTGAATGGATCTGGATAAGAACATCATTTTGGCTCTTTTTCTTTTATTCAGAAAGATGGGTGTCCTTTTTCGGTTTTTCACCACCACAAGGTTGAACACCTTCCAAGGCAACATAGATCTTCCACCATTGAAGAAGCCAGCACCATCAACCACAAAACTCACTTTATGTTTGCTAAGATAGAGTTTAGCACTAAAATCACCAAGAAACAAAATCTTTTCTTCTCAAGCTTGCTTTAAAAAAAACACATTTTCTTTGAGTAACTTTAAAAGTTCACTGCGCGCCGATTTTAAAATTTACAAAGAATTTAGACCAGCACCTTGAAAAAAAACACAAAATTACTATAAAAGAATAGTAAAAAAAAAACTATGCACATGACTGTCTTTGAAAAAAAAAAACTCTCCTCACTCAAAAAAGAGGGTTGGAGAGTAATCCATTAGAGGGGTTCACATAGGAAGAAAATAAACCGAGGGGAAAATGTTAGGGATAAAGAGTTATTGGGTGGTTAACGATAGTACAATTGGATTGTTAATTCGAATGGATATTTTTTGAGAGACTTTAAGTTAAGCAATTGAAAACATCATGATTGTCGCACCTTTCATGAGGAAAAAACATTTTTTTTTTCTTCGCACAAATATCAAACTATAATTAGTTCATATTAAATTAATTTAATAATGACATTCTTATTGTCTATAACCTTTAATTGTGTTACCTGCATACCAAGATGTTGTGTCTTGATATCTAAGAAAGATGAAAAATTTTGTTAGGAGTTTTATTAAAATAAAGATGGGTGGAATGTCTTTAAAAGTATAATCCTTTAACCTGCCGCCACATTGAGTGTCATGTTGCACATGAGATGATTGAGAAGCCTACCAAAGTTAGCTATGAATCATTTTACACATAAATAATTATGTATGTATAAAAATGGGTGGTAAGTCGTTTTTAAGTATAATCATTTGGACCTGCTGCAACATTGAGTGTCATGTTGGACATGAGATGATTGAAAAGCCTACCAAAATTTAGCTAAGATACATTTTATACATACGTAATTATGTATTACAAGAAATTTGGAGTATGATGAAATCACTTACATTGAAATACGTGGAGAGAATAGAGAATATTCCAAGAAGACGAATGCTTGAAATAGTCATGATGGTAATGATGGTTGTCTTCCAATTTTACCAAGATAAACCGACAGAGAAGATCGAGAGAGCTAGATGATATAATTTGCTAAAAAAATGAGATAGTTGACTGAGATGACCAAGAGGATCGATCAATTTGCTTAGCCGACTAAGGTGATCAAGAGGGATGACTAAGATAGCTTGCAAAGTGAATTTACAGAGCAGACTTAGATGATCAAATGAGATAGCTTGACAATAGCATCGAGATAACCAATTGAAAAGACCACAGACTACTTTACTGACTACTTTACTGGGCATAATAAAATGACTCACCAGTAAAGTTATTGCACAATTAGAGGACTTGATGTATACTTCCATAAAGCCTTCTTAAGTATTGGAGATCTTAGAAAGGATATCAAGGTGCTAAACATCATGGATAAATATCGCTCAAGAACAATAGGCTGTTGATAAGCATTATGGTATAAAAGGATTAAGATGGTGAAATACATGCTTCAATGTGATTTTGTCCGTTTCTATGAACTCATCATCTTCTAGTTGTGAATTTAGAGCCTAATGAAAGTTATTTTCATCTTCATTGCCCCAATGATAGCACCGCATGTAAGAAGTAAAATTATTCCAAAGACAGAAAAAAAAAACTGGTGAAAGAGTTACTTGTACAGATAATTTCAAAAAGATTGAGAAAGTTCCACATGTGACTAACAAAGAAGCAAACTTAATCAAATACGAAAAAATTCTACTTGATTCCAAATCATTCACTAATACACGAAAGGTATTTTCCATATAAAGATATGATTTAAGTCTGAAAGAAACCAATGCTCCTCTCAATCGACCAATAAGGTATAAATACGCATGATGATTTGGCAAACACCTAGATGAACCCCCAGAAGTATTAAGTGTTATAAACTTACCACATTTTGATCAAGCGTCACTTAATTTAATTAACTAAGTTTGTAATCGAATAAATCATATTTGTGATGTCAACACTTTCAAGGATAGCTTTATATTCAATACAATATTTATAATTAAACAGTATTATTCTTGCATTTACTTCATACCAAATCAAACAATTCCAACGTATTTCAAACACATTATATTTCAATTAAACAGTATTGTTTACACTATACTTCTTTTCAAGCAAACCAAACAACTCCAAAATATATCCAAAAACTAATTCTGTATAGTTCAAGCTATTTAAAAATATCCAATGTTTAAACGAAAATAAAGTAAACTGTGTTTTAACCAACTCCTTGACCTGTCTATAAAAGAGTCGAACATGAGCGAGCCAAGGCCTTATTCGTGTTCGGCTCGTTCGATTTAAAAGCTGTTTGAAGTAGGCTGTGTTCGAAATTGTTGGTGCAGAGTATGTTCGTGTTTGGTTTGAATTAAGATAGATTTGTTTGCTTTAGGCTGTTGTTCAGCTCGAAATGATCTATTATAAATTATAAAAATAATATTTTTAGTTATTTATTTGATGAAAACCAGTTCCACAATAGAACCACAAAAACCAGAAAAATCTAGAAATGTAACATCAACACTAAAACTTTGACTCAATAATTTAAGAAGGGATCGAAATAAATCCATTAGAATTGTGTGCTGCGTATGTAAATTTCCCAAAAAAAATAACAGCTCTTAGTGTTAGTTGACAATTGATCCAAGAACCAATATATATATATATATATATATCGCAGTGATACAGAGACCCAGATCTGGGAAGAACATTTGGGTAAAAATATCAGATTTTGAAGAACCTTTGGCTGGTTGGAAACTTGGAATCCACAGAAAAAAAATCGCTAGAAAGAAAAAAAAAAGAAAAAAAAAAACTAAGTTCGCCAAGAACCGTCTTACTTCACAGTGTGATCGGAGGCTGCACAGCCTCTCTTCACCTAACCGAAGCGATAAAATAACATCTCACCTCTTGGGCGAAGCCCTTGGGATGGAAAGGAAAGATTTTCGCAGAATCAAAGTCGCCCTCGCCCCGTTGCCCGTCCGGCCACCTCGCCTCGCCCTCGCCCTCTCGTCCGTTCGCCGCCTTCGCCTCGTGGCCGCAATTCGCAATGCGTTGGTTTAGCTGTTTAGGGTTTTGAAAAATCGTATATATAGAATAACATTGGGGGGTTTTTATATACCTGACACCTAAAACTTTTTCATTTACATATTTCACCGATAAATCTTGAAATTTACATTAAAAGCACTTAAATTTTGTTTAATAGCCCAAAAAATAACCTCATGTTTTAAACATTTCCGTCTATTAACGCCCCTAAAAAAAAATTAATCGGAAACTCTAATTTGAAATCTCCCCTCCGAAGATATAAAAAATATTATATCAGGACATGTCAGGTATCCAAGGACAATCTTTGACCAAATCGTATATTCAGTGGGCCCAAAGGCACTTTGTTATTGGACATCTTATGCATATTTGAATAAGTGTCCAGATGCTATAATTTTTTTAAATTTTCTTTCCATTTTAGGAGTACCATAAAATATCCTTACTTTTTCTCCATCAGTGCTTCCAACATAGATAACAACACTCAATGTTATTCGTTGAAGGAGTATAGTAATAAAACAGTTGTGAGCTCTATCACCAAAGCAGCTAAACAATTTTCAGAATCATCATTTGCATATCATTTCCACAAACATATGTTTGATCACTTTCAGAATCGAGCACCCCTCCTTACGTCATTTTATCCTCTTACTGGTAATCATCCCCAAATCAGGTTTTCCCAGTGAGCATCTAGTTTTTTTTGTAAACTTAAGAGATAAAGAGCAAGAAAATTGCCCCTGCTTAATCAAAGTATATCATTGTTTTGATTTGGCTTTGTATAATTATAAATTGTTCATGTTCGATTGAGCTTGAGTTACTTTTTTCAATGTTTAAACTTGATTTGTTAATGACAAGTGAACAAGTATGTAAAAGAACTAATAAATTAACTTAAAATTCAAAGTAGTTTGTAGATTTTTCATATAAAAAATTTATTAAATAATTTACACTAAATCCTACCAATCAACAAAAATGACGAACTAAAAAATCTTAAATCTCGTTTTCCCTCCATTTTGCCTTAAAATATGGATATTCCCTAAACATGAGAAATGACAATTTTAAACCATACAAAATCTTAAATATGATATCTCTTCTTTTGTGCTTAAATCTCAGATATAGTAAATGCAATTTAAAAGAGGATTTATAGGATTTAAAGAAGTTGAAGTGCGTGAAGTGGAGAGCGAGAGAGGATGAGAAATATATGAGTTAATCAGGTAAGACATCTGAGCAGACTAGAGAGAAGAGATATAACAAATACTAGAGTTTCAAAGATCCTTGCATGCCACAATCTAGTTGTTGTTTTTGTTGCTTGTATGCCGTAGCAACTAAGGGTTTCATATGTTTTAGGAAAAATCGGGAGAGGCGAAACTACAAGAGGCAAGAGAAAAAGTGAGGTTTGTAATTTCACATGTAAGGGGTATTTCAAACATAGCACACAAGTCTTATATAATTTCACATATAACAACTAAAAATTAAGAAAATAAATATATAATTAATAATTAATCTAATTTTTTTTAATATAATATTATATTTATGTTAAGTAAAAATTAAATAAATTCTAGTTAATTAAATTAAATTTATATAATATATCATATACGATATGAGCTATCATCGAGTTTAATATCAAGAATTTAACAAGTTACTTGTTGGACAATAAATTAGTTTGTTTGTCAACATAAATGAACAAGTTTAACTATATTTATATTTAGTACATTCAAACTTAGAGCTTTTAAAAATTGTTCAAGCTTTGTTTATTTACTTATTTGAACGAATATAATTAAGTCTTAATCAAGTTGAGTTTGAGTTATTCATTGAGTGCTTTGGTTCATTTACAGCCACAGGGCAGTTGAAGTCAATGTGGAGGTTGATTTAGGCCAGGGAGTTATTATCGCGAACAGGGGCTTCCATGGGCACTTTCAGCAAAAGGTGACGGGAAAGAGAGGCTATTTTTTGGGCATTAAGAAAATTTAGGTGCTGTATGGGTAAATAGGAAGATTCGTGTGCGAGATATGTAAATAGGAAGATTTGTGTGGGAGATATGTAAACAGGGGCTTCCATGGGCTCTTTCAGCAAATTTTTTGGGTATTAAGAAAATTTAAGATTGCTGACATTTTATGAGATAAAATTAATTTCAGATATTTAAGAATAAAAATATTCAATTTGAATGATTTAATATATTTTTTAATATTATATTTTTCTATTTATTATATCATTAAATTTTAATATAAAAAATGATAGTTATATTATTTTAAATTATTTATTTAATTTGAGACAAAACAAGCCAAACAAGAACGAGCGAAGGGTTGTTCGTGTTCGGCTTGAATAGAAATCGAGCTAGAAAAATTTATTTGTGTTCAACTCGTTTATAAATTATAGATCGAGCTAAAAAAATTTGTTCATGTTTGACTTGTTTATTTCAAACAAAGGCTAATTACCTAGTGAAATATGAGTTATTGCAAACAATCAATTTTTTTTAGAGCCCTTGGGTGATTTAATGATTGACCTTAATTTATTTCAGGAGTTTATCGAAAGTTTAATATTACGAAACCCACAAGTGAAACCTGCTTCGTCTCCAAGTTCATCTGATCCCAGCCGTTTTGCCTTCTTCTTTAAGAAGGGGATCAACCGAGCACTTTCCGGCTAGAGGGGATGCAAGATGGTGTCAAAAGTCGTTCCGGAGATGCTCCAGCCAGTTAAGGAGTGTTGTGCGATTAAATTAGAAGCTACCGAGAGCCTGTACACCGAATTAGAGAGGCAAGGACTGTAAGTCGTCGTGGTGGGAAGGTAGGATGAGATTTATCTGTGGCACAAAACAAATCACAAGATGTTCCAAATAAATGGATGGTCTTATCCTCTTCATCCTCTTCCTCTTATTTATCCTCTTTGTTCACCAAAGCACCGGTGAATTTAGACGATTTTTGAGCCGTCGGTAGCTTCTTGAAATCGAATTAGGGATACAAAAAGTATCCTCCATAACTTCTTGTAAGAGTATCTAACTAGAGCTCTAGGATTTACATTCATTTCACTTCATTTTGGGAAGAAATGATAAATTTCGAGGATTTACATACAAACCACTTAATTTTGTTTTACATTTATGGCACCTTTCTTATGCATGAAATTGTGTATTTCACTTTTTAAAAATTAAAGTTATGATCGTCTTAAGGTATATGTAAGATTTGGGTTGGTGTGAATGTATAAAGCAATATTAGTTTTGCAATAAATAAATACAAAGGATTTGGGTGGTTTATATGCAAGATGCCGAAATAATGTACATTTAAATTTAGGCTTCATGTAGTATTTTTCTTTTTATATGAAAGTTTTGCCAGGTGCGCATGTAAGAAACAATGTATAGCTGTTTAGATATGTAAATGCATAAGAATTGGGTGGTATGTATGTTTATGCATATGTTTATGAACCAAAGTGTTATAACATGTCTTTATGATACCAAATTACATGTAGGGGGTATTCGACTGCAAGCAAGATTTGATATTAGCAGGATTAAATAGATCCGTAAATCTTAAATCGGGTAGATCACCCTCCTCATGGATTCGAAGGCAAAACTCAAAAAATTAAATCCAAAAATTCATAAAACTCCCTTATTTTATTGTTTGGCTATATTTTGTAAATTTGGTGATAAATCCTATTAAAAAGTGCTACCAAACACCTCCTTAGGGAGTGTTCAACTACAACCAACATATATAACTTAAGAAGGATTTAGTTTAAATATGATTTAATTTAAGGGCAAGCCAATTTTTGTGTGGTGCTCTAACATGATATTATCTAATACGCTGGAAAATCACTTATTGTCCATCGCAGGGCGGCTTTCAACTGAAAATTCTATTTCGTACCAATGTCATAAGCCATCACACATGTTTTCCATAATGTTTGAAGCTCATCTATCAAATGTTTGTACGTGTAGATCAGCTTTTCTCTTGGGATTGTCGGCTTGATATGCTCAACTTCAAAAATAAAAAAAAGTGTCATGCATATATCAGGAAGCAAGTTATATGACGTAACAATTACCGGCTAGCATGGGTAGCATGAAGCGGCCCGACTATATAGTATAAACTCGTATGCACATAAGTTAAACTCGAGGTTACATGAATCGAGAACAAATTCAAGATAAGTATGATCGGAATATTTTCAAACTTCTCAACCTCTAGGATGAATCAAAGAATCGAAATCATCTGATTAATTTTGGTGTCATGTCATGTAAGGATATGTACACATAGATGTTAAAAATATTTGAAGATGGTGAATGTGTAGTAAGCACAAAAGACACTTAGGGTTTAGGTTTGTTTAGATTTTTGTTGTTGCTTCTTTTGCTTGGGTTGTACTTGCATTGGTTGCTTGCCCTTATCAAATGTCGAGACATTTCTTGATTTCTTGTCAAATGTCTTTGTAAAATTTGGCTTCTGTCTTTTCCGTAAGACTTAACTGCTTTGCATCTTCTTGGAGGCTTGATGCTTTGCTATCAATCATAAATTATGAATGCCACTAGTCTATGGATGCCCTCAAGAAGTATTTCGATAGCGTGTTGTTCTTGAAATTGTGGTTCACACTTTATACTGAGAATATTTCACCGTTGTTAAGTCAAATGTTTTTCTTTTCAGAAGTGATGGGTATGAATTTAGTAATACCGTCGAAATTAAAGATTAATTTTTCATCGCTATGCCGTGATAAATTAAGACTATATTTGCAACCACAATAAATCATCAATTAGATTGCCTTTTCTTGTATTGATATATATATATATTTCGGCTTGAAT